AGCAGCAGCAGCAGCAGCTTACAATATGAATTACTCATTGCTCATTTTTGTTGCAATTTATTGTCATTGTTGTTGCTGTTGCTGTTGCTGATGCCGTTGCAGTTGCAGTTGCTGCCCATCGCCAATGCAATTTCTCTGTAGCGCTTTTTTGTGGCAGGCTGCTTTTTGCTGGATTTTTCATGTCCGTCTGTCGGCAAGGTCCTTCTGCTTTATGTGCCTGGCATATTTTGTCGATATTTACTTAAAAATACACAAAGGACGCCTTGCAACGTGCTTTTTGTTGGCATGCCTTGGGGTAAGTTTTAGTTGTTGCTTTTTGCTGCTTTAAAGTTGGGTTACTTTCTTTTTGGGGGGGCATTTAAGACGCCTGCCGCCGCAATTACAACTAATGCGGCAACTGCGTGTTCGCTGCAAACATGGCTGACATCATTAGGCCGCAAGACACTCACACACAAACACACACTCACACACACTCTCACATGTACACATTCTCGACACACACATTGCCTTGCCTGGCTGCTTCCGTTTTGACCAGCTTAATTTCCTGCCTGGCACCACATGGCGTATGTGTAATCAACTATATTGTAGCAGACTCCCTCTGCCTTGCGCTCGCTCTCCTTCTGTCTCTCTCTCTCCCTCTCTCTCTCTCTCTCTCTCTTTGTCCTTTTAACACTGCTTAATCACTGTAACTGCCATTTTTCATCAAAGTAATTACCCGCGGCCGTCGCCAACGTCGCTTTCATTTCTCTTATGTGTAGCCAGCGCCTGCGACCACGCCTCTTGCTAACACAAACACATACACTCACACACACTCATACACGCATTGTGCCCCACAAAGCTGCCACGCCCCTCTTTAAGCGTCGTCCAGCAAATTAAATCATTTTATATGCATTAACATTTTATTGCGCCATTTTATTTGACAGCTTATCAAAAAAAAAAAAACAAATCCCAAAGCCTCTGCAAGCCCGTCCCTATGTTTATTTTGATATGCCCTATTTTGAGTAGACAAGAGGTATATTGTTTCTTCCTGAGGTCTGATACTCTCTTTTAGCGAACTCCTTTTTGGGAATACATTAGTATATAAATATAAATAATATAAAATTATTATATTTTTAAAAGTGTATTATTTATTGTTTATTATTTACTATTTATTATTTATTGATTTTTATTTATATCCATTTTCTTAACAGAGTATTTAACAGTCTGTGCATGCTTAGCTACAAAGCTTTTAATTTTTTTTGATATTATTTTGCTTGATTCTCCCCATTACTTGGCATTATTTTGGCGTTTTTTCTCGCGTGTTGCCTACTTTTCTGCGTCTTTTGCATATTTTGCGCCTGCAAAGAAAAACTCGAGTAAAAAGTTTTATTTTTCTTTTTTGGCAGAAATTTATGAGCCTCAACATCGGAAAATTAATATTGCAAAATATTTGTTGGTGGGCGGGCGTGGCTGGCGTTACAGGTAGATGCTGTAAGCGTTTCCCTTCTCTCTCCCTCTCTCTCTCTCTCGCTCACACTCGCTTTTTGCCCTCTTTTCTCTCTTCAAGCAGCCAACGTATTATGTGGTATATATACATATATATTTATGTCTTTGATTTGTTTGTTTGTTGCAAATAAAAGCTAAAGCTGAGCTGTGAGCTGCTTTTCTCTTGTTTTCCAATTCTGTCCTCCTCGTTTCCCTTGCCATGCCGCCTCTCCAGCTGCGCCAATAGGCTTTAACGAGTCAAAAGTTCCGTTTGGCTTGGCGCAGCTTTTGCTGCTTGCCAACAAATTTTTGTGTTAGCCGCGCCGTGCCACGCCCTCTCTGCCAAGCACCCCTCCCCCCAAACTCCCCTTGACCAGAGCCTCATCGGAAAGCGGTGCCAAGGTGGCTGCTTGTTTTTGGCATCGCGCTACGTTTTGTTTGCCTTTGCCAATTGGCGTAGGCCGTGGCAAAAACCCGTTTAGCTGCCTGACCTATCTGTCCCCCTCCCCACCCCAATGACTAGCCCCCCACCACCCACTTAGCTTGCCACTGGGCTGCCTGCCAGCTGCCAGTTGCAAGGTTTTTGTGTGTTGCATGCATAACCAACTACAATGCCAGTCATGTTTCTCCTCTCCCCTCTCTCTCCCCCTCTCTCTCTTTCTCTCTCTCTCTCTCTCTCTCTCTCTCTCTCTCTCTCTCTCTGAATGTCTCTTTTGTAGTTTTTGGCTCGCCTGCCGCTTGTCATAATTTTTAAGTGACCCAAGCGCCGCATGTGGTCGCATGTGTGCTGCAAGCACTGGATTATCACTGGTTTCGTGACCCAACCCAACCCAACCCAACCCAACCCAACCTCACCCACATATTACCCGCTTAATGATTTATATTAGCTGCCGCATAATTTGTTTTGCTGATGCAAATCTTTTAACGTTTTAAAGTTAAAGTTTTGATGGGCAGAACGCTTTTTCCTACCCATTTGCTACAAGTCCACCTCGAGAAGTAAGTCAAAATTTAGTGGGGCTTTAAACTTTTTTTACTTCATTCCAGAATATTAAGAACATAAAACAATATGAATTAAATTGTTGATCTACTAGAATTTAAAAAGTCATATTCTCTAATTCTCTGCTACCTCCCCTTTGCTATTTACCTTTTCGCTAGCTCTTTTATTTTCTTAACTGAATTCCTGTCGCCGCGGGTGGCACAATTTTCAAAGTGCCTGTCAGCTGGAGGTTTCGTTACCCCAACCCGATTTCCCCTAGTGAAAATCTCTCGAATTTCCTGACAGCTCAACAAGTTCAAATTTCAGGGCAATTAACATTTGTTGCCTTGCGGCGCCAACTGTTTATTAATGTGCCGTTGCATGGGCAACAAGTCAATTAGCTGCTCGAGCAATTCGAATATGCCCCATGCCAAAGCCGCACAGAAAGTCAATAATTCAGTTCATATTTCGTTGACTTCACGCCGCTTCGCATTGCAAATTTTGTGGCAAAAGAAATTTGCAACAGCTGTCGCTCGCTTTTTTCTATGCTGCAACAAAAGAAGACACACAACAACAACACACACACACATACACACACAGAGCCGCCGCAACAAGCATTTCAAACATGCAGCTGGGTGCGGGTTATTGTCATGCTGCTGCTTTTGCTGCTGCTGCCGTTGTTGCAAGTACAAAATGCAACGCTGTGCTTAACAACTCGCCGCATAGACAATGCGACAGCTCCTTCAGCTCCTGCAGCTCCTTCTCTGCTCCTTGTGTCTGTCTTTGGGCTCGGCTCCTGCTGCTCCTGCAGTCCAATACAAATGCGCCCAAGTGCATGTCGAGCGATACAACCAGCCAAAACTTTCATTGTAGTTGTGCGGTTGTAGTTTTTATGTTGGGCATGCGGTTTTACATACCCTGTGAGTTGACAATCTTTGTTGGCAGGCAGTGTAAGACTCTGCAGACCACTTTGCTCTCAAGGAACTCTGCTGCAATAAAGGCTTATGCTAAAAAAATTGGTATGCTGGGAATACGCAGGAATATGTTTCGTCTTGTGTGTTAAATAACTTTACATGCTCTTTCTTACTCTGGCAGGATTTAAGATTCTTTCAAGGAACTCGGGTCTACAAATGCTAAGCCCAACAAGTTTGGGATAAAAACTCTTGTATACTTTATAAGAATAAATGCTGTTGCTAGAAATATGCGACAAATAAAATATATTTTGAGCTTTGAATAAATCTTTATAGAATGTGTAGGGAATTATACTTGACATGGGGCATATACTGTTCCATCAGTTGTATGTGCAGTCCTTTTACAAGTTTTCCTTTTATATTGTTGTCGTCGACCCGTCTCGTCTGGTACTGAGCCCCACTGTTAGCGCTGCGCATTTGCAAGTTGTAGTTTTTGTAGTAGTTCGCTCGCCCCCGCGCTCAATGCATGTAGTTTTTATAGACTCCGCACTTGTCGCAGTCCATTGTCTTGACACACACACACACACACACACCGACACACATTGGAAGACAGGGGGGATAGAGACAGCGAATGAATGAGAATGGGACTGGGAATGGAAGACTCGAGACTCGAGATGGAGACAACTTGCTTAGTGCTGTGACGTCTGCTGTTCCTTTTAGTTACTGTTTTCATGGTCCAACTGTTTTGTGTTTTTTGTGTGCACTCCCCCTCAAACCCGCCCAACCCGCTCGAACCCGCACCGCGTTCCCTTTGTCTTTTGTCTGGCAGGTGTTTCGTTTTGTAGTTTCGAACAATGCCCAAAGAAAACATTACCTTTAAATCCTACAGCAACAAAAAGAGAGAGAGAGAGAAGTAGATGAGAAAGTTTTTGAGTTTTAATTTTAAGCATATTATGAAACTTAAATGCGACGTAATTTGCTTGGTTACTCAACGCCGAGGCTAAGCCAGCTTAGAAGCTTAGAGTAACTTATATGCAGGCTTCCAGTTCTTCTTCAATCCTGAGCTGTCTCTCTCTGTGTGTGCGTGTGTGTGTGTCTTTATGATTGCGGTCGACAGCTGGTGAAGAGCTGCGTGTGACAGTTGAAAGTGGGCAAGCTGAAGTTTCCTTTAAAGCGCAATGTCATTGTCCTAGAGCTGTCAGTTTTTGTGAGCCCTAAAACGCGATCAAAAAAAAATATGCTTAAGGATACCCTGTAATGAAGTCTAAAGTACTTAAATTGTTAGGAGGGGCGAATATATAAGATAGCCGTCTGTAACATCATGCACTTATTTATCTCATCCGATTTGTTGTAATGGAGAGCATCTAATTAATTAATCTTCAAGAATATTGAATTATTAATATTGGCTCTATTTAACTCTTAGAGATCCAATGCTATGAAATATGTATGCATTGAATATGTCCTTCATTTAGATTCATTAGGCCAACACGTAGACCTTAGGAAACTTGGAGACTACAAAAGCTGAGCCTAGCAAATTTGATATGTGGTTGTTTATATATATTTGATTAGGATTAAAGGTTTGCTTTGTATGTTTAAAAGCTAGAAATGCTATAATTAAAATTGCTTAAAACTGTTTTCTTTTATTACAGAGACCCCCATGGATGTCGATGTTTATTTATGCTTGAGTCAGAAATTAAGGTATGTACTCTATATTTTTTTTTATTTTTTTTCAAACTTTTCTTATGATAAGTTTCGCTTCAAAAGTGTAAAAGTTCTGCAAGCGCCAAAGGAAAAGTTACAAATTATTTTAAACTAAAATTAAAATTTGTTTATATGTTTAGATACATTCAAATATAAATATTTAAATAACTAGGCTGTTTGCATCTAACAAAAATGTTACCCTTTGCTAAACGAACTGCCATCTGTTATTGTTGACCTACATATTTACAGGGTATCACAGATTATATCTCCCTTATTAGGAGCTCCCGCCGCTGTTGTTGCCCCTGCGTCTCATGTCACACGCTTGACGTATATGACGCTGTATGCATGTTGACAGCTCGCCTGCAGGCCAGCGCTTTAGTCAACACGCCCCCATCTCTGCCCCGCCACAAGCATTCTTTAATTGCTTGCGGTTGCTGCGTGCATCATGAGAAGTTGCCACATCCTTTTTGTCTGCTGTTCTGTCTGTGTGTGTGTGTGTGTGTGTGTGTGCGTGTCGCTCTTCACGCCAGTTCCTCTAATGAGGTCATTGCTTGACAATCGCATTTGCCATGCAACATTTGCTGTGGGACGCGCAACGCTTCTGATTTGTTGCATGCAACATCGTTCGTGGCGTTGTTGTCATTCGCCCGGCATCATTCGTTGTCATTCGTCGCTGTCTTTCGGCCGTTTTTCATTCTGCATTGCGCGTTGCTTTCATTTCCGTTTCCGCTGCCAGCTGCTTCATTGTGGTTGTCATTAGGCGCAACGCCGTACGACTTACCGTTTGCCACCCCCGCCCCCAGCCCCGCTCGCAACATTTCATTTGATTTTAGTTCATTTTAAATGTCTTTTGTTCTTTGTTTTACGCTGCTTCGGCATCTTTTGCCGCTGCGTCGCTTTCATTAATTTGGCCCAACGCCGCTGACTGTGCCACTATGCTAGCCAGGCCAGGGGTTGTTAGTTAGTTAGAGGAGCTGGTGCGTTGGCGTTTTTGCCTCTTCGACATAATTTATGCGACAAGGCGTGCGAGAGATAAATTTCTGTCGTTTGCCATTTTTCGCTTGCGTTGTATTTGGTCTAAATAAATTAAAGTCAGCGCCTCGCAGGGTAGCCGAAAGTGCGGCAAGATCGGACCGTAAATGAAGCTCCTCACTATTTAGGATGGTGATGTGAAGGGCGGGAGGGGAGGGGCTTGCCACTCTGCGCTCGCCAATCGCAATTTCCGCAGCGCCGCCTGTTGATTAATGCGCGCTTTTAATTGCAGCAGGCCCAAAAATTTTCTAGACCACCAAATGGCAAAAGCACAAAACAATGCGTCAGCCAAAGTGCCAGAAAGTAGGCTTCAGGCAAGTACAATTTGTTACAATTGGCATACCCCGACTGTGCAATGCTCTGGTTCTAGTGTAGTAGCAGCCGAAATGTGGCAATAATATTTTATAGTTTTCTTTTATTTTCAATTTTAAAAACGAGTAAAAAGTTTTTAGAATCTCTTTAGTAAATTTTAAATAATTATTTAAATAATTTAATACTAGAACATGGCGAAATTCTTATTACTTTTTCTCCTTAGTTTTATTTATTTACTTAATTTAAATTTTACTGGCATAAATTGACATCAGCTCTGATGCAAATATATTTTAATTTACACTCTGCCTTCCGTTGCTGGAAAAAGTATCTTTAAGAAACGTTGCGCAGGCTAAACCGGCGTATACGTAATATGCAGCGCTTTAATACACAGGTTAACCTGGCGTATACGCAACGCGAAGTGAAGTTGCGGCGATGGCTGCATATGAAATGCGACTGGCGTGGCATGCGTGTGCCTGTGCTTCTGTGTGTGTGTGTGTGTGTGCCTTGTAAATTAGTGCGCTCATGCAATGCACTCACACACAGACACGCACACACTCACACACAGGCATGTAACTGGGCAGACAGCGTATGCCACTTAACCCAACTCCAGTTCTCTGCGCTGTGACATGTCTCATGTAAAATAGCATTTTCGTGCGTTTGTTAATTAAAAGTGTAACTGAAAGGGAGAGAGAGAGAGAGAAAGAGACAGAGAGTGTGCACGTGAAAGAGATGGATAATAGGCAGAGTGGAAGCGAGGGAAAGGCGTGTGTAAAAGCGGGTGCAATGCCAGTTGGTGCCCAACAGCGCCAATGTGTTTTCGACGAGGTAAACCATAAATAATGAATGAAATTAACAACGCAGCAGCAACAGCTACAGTAACAACTCAAGAACGTGACACTAGCTTGTGTGTACGTATGTGGGTGTGCGTATGTGTGCCTGCCTGTGTGTGTGTGTGTGTGTCATGTGCCTGACAGCAACTGACTCATCCTTTGAACTTTGCTCCCCCACCACGCTCATGTGCAACTTTAGGAGTCTTTCGCTTGGAGCAATTCTTTACTTTATTTTTATCTTATATTTTTTGTGATTTAGCTGATGTAAAATATGAGCCAGACAGAGATATATATATATGAATAATTTGAAATATGGCGCCATAATTTATAAATATGTTGAAATTTTCAGATTTATGCAAATGAAAAACTAAAAAGTCAATTTATCTACATCAGAAACAGCACCAAAAAATGCTGTGCACAAGTTGTGCCTGAGAGAGCGCAGGAGTTTGTAATAGAAATCAATATTACAGCTCAAAAAGCTTTTAAATAAAGCGTATAAGGCAGAGATACTATGTGCCCTTTATGATATGGAGTATGCTTTATTTAATATAAAACACTATCTTATAATTAGATCGGATGCTAGACATAATTTTTCATCTTAGCCAGTTATACAAATTAATTTATTGCTGTTTAATTGACAACTCTTTAAAATAGTGTCAATTTAATGTTACATTGTGTTAATATTAAATAATACCAAGTTCACAACGTACTTTGGAAACAGGCTCCAATGAGAGTTGAGCAAGATCTTCAAATGCTAGGCTATTCATAATATTATCTTCATTGAGCGAGATGTTTGATTCCTGCCCTAAAAAGTATAGTACAGTTGTCAAATCTAGAACAGTCAACACTTGACTTAAATTTAACTGCTAAATAAAATCAAAGTCTGCCTCAAAACAGTTTCGACTTCCAAGAAAGTATTTTCTTAAAACGTTTGTCAAAACTTACCACAAATTTTGAAGCTATGCTTCTGGTTAGCCGAACCCTATTTAAATGTGAGACCCAAATCGAAAAGGAAATCTATTTTAGCTAAGCCGCAGACCAGCAACCACTTTTCGTTTAATAAGTTCCTTGAAATTGCTGAAATCCATACAAATTAGGCATTAAGTTAATGGCAGCTCACGTAGTCGCTGTCGGCTTTAATGCCATTTAAATAGCTCAGCTTTTAAGTGGCAATAAAAGTGTTGTTCGTGCGTATTTCAAATCGTGTAGATATTAAACTGAAACCCCGCTGTTGGCCACTCCCTGCCTCCCTCCCCCTGCCCTTCCTCCAGCCAGCAACTAGCCCAACCTAACTCGCCTTGTGCATTTCCGCTTGAGCGCGAGGCAAACAAAGCGCATAAACGACGCATTGAGTTATCAAAAGAAATTGCTGGCAACGTTGCAAGTCCTTGTGTTGCATGCCCCTTGCTCTCGACGACGAACAACCATCTACCCCACCCGCCCGCTGAGCTGAGCCACCCTGCAGTGACAGGGCGTCAGAGCAGACACATTATTTATGGGTCGCAATTACTCACAGGCGGCATGGGGAGCTTAGGGCTTGCCACTGAAGAAGAAGAATTGCCTTTTTGCATATACATTCATTTCCTTTTAGAAATACGTATATATATTCTGAGATGCAGTTGCACGCGTAATTTGCAATCACAACAGATATTAGATATGAGATGCCAGATACTAGATACTAGATACTATCTGCAAAAACTTGGCTCAAAATTCCACAGCTGACAACAATTTACAAGCATTTACTTTGTTGGCAACTGAGCAACAGCCACAGCAATTAACATGGTCAGGCAGGCGGCTGGGCGTGGTCAGCTCTTTCTCTCCTCCCTCTCTTCCCCTATCTCTTTTAACTATCTCTCAACTGGTCGCTTGGCAGTTGCTTATCTACGCCTCGCTGCATTCTCATAATAAACAAATTTTCTGTTTTCTCATGGTAAATTACATTTACCAGCGGGTAGCAAGAAGAAGCAGCTCATGATAAACAAGCAGCAATGCTTGCGGTTGCCAGCCTGGGCATCTTTGGGCTGGCCCGAAAACTAATGTGCATTGCACTGGAAGACAATGCCAGCCACATTAAGCAGTTTATATGCCACACACACACACACACACGCACGCACACACCCTACCCATCCCTCTCCCCCTCCCCCTTCCGACGCTTCCTTTTACAGCTGAGCAAGCAAGGCAATTATTTATATCTTGTTTTATTTATTTTTTATTTTTGGTTCTTCCTGCGGTTTTAAACCATAAAAGGCTAACTGTTTATTTTCGGCTTGATAAATTTCTTAACTGGGCCACGCCCACTGTTTAATAAAGAGGCGCGACCAGTTTTGTTAAAGCCTGAAAATAATTGAACAAAGTAAAACGTGGCACACAGCAAGGGACGGCACAGCTGTGCTGTGCCATGCATTTTATAGCATTGAAGACAAAAGGGCCAAACAAAGCAAAGGCACAGTTTTTGGCTTCACGTCGCGTCTTCCACACACGTCCTGACTTTGGGCCAAAGTAGTTTTCATTGTTTTCTGCTTGCATATTTGACCGGCGTCTGTTTTGTTGTGGCCACAAGCAACAAGGACTTCTAATTAGCACACTGTCAGCCGCTGGTCGGGCCAGGACAATGACGACAAATGTGCTTAAATGGCCAAGTTAGTCGACCCGTTAAAAACGGGCAACGGCAAAAACCCAAAGCAGAAACGGAAACACCAATGGCAAATGGCGGCAGTTCGCGGCGGAACCAAACAACAGACAGAGACAGGTTGACGAACACAGAGAGAGAGAGAGAGAGAGAGATAGAGTGAGTAGAAAAGAGGTGGGCAGAGTAGTATGGCTTAATGCCACGAAAGGACATTACATTTGTTATTGCTTGGCAGTTATATATACACATGTACGTCTAGTATAGGCCGCACATGTGCTCCTAGGTACAGTGGGTCACATAAGCTAAGCATGTTGTGCTTAGATATATATATATTTTATGTCTAATTTTTATATATGCAAATCCATGCTTTACCATCATTCAGTTCATTAGTTAGTTAGTTAATCTAAAAAAGATATACAAACCTAGAAATGAATCACTTTTGTTAAAAAAAGCCAAAAATGTAAGCAATTAGTATAGAATTGTATGAAATATTTATCCATTCAGAAGCTTCCACTTTCAGAAACTGGTTCATTATGAAAAAATAAAATATAGCAAAGTTTGTTCTTGACATCCCTTCTTTCTCTCAAATTTAGCTGCTTTTTTACCTTTCTACCCACTGAAATTTCCGAGTTTTAAATAGAACCTTTGCGACTGATGTGGCTCATTGTTGTCGCAGTTTGTTACTTTTTTTTTTTATTATACAAAACAAAAAATATTGTTCGCCCGACGTTTGCACTGTTAATGTGTGTGTGTGTTTGCTGTTGTTGTTTTTATTTCCATTTTGATTGCAATTGCGCTCGGCCTCTAAGTGAGTTTTTCTTTAATTTTTTTTCTTTCGACGATTTTGCTTCTGCAAAGCGCACAAATGTATGCAACACATTTTGTTTGCAATGGCCGCAGCAAATCCGCACGAAACGCCAGCAGCTGTGGAGGGGTTATACGTTGCTAGCTGGAAGGGGTGGGGGCGGCGGCGGGGTTAACTCGTTGCCACTTCCGTGCTGAGTGAACGGAAATGGCGGCGTCAGGTCGCCAGACCGACAAACGACACCGACACCAACGGGGCCAAAAACTGTAATCCGAAGCGCCGCCAGAAACACATGCAGCTGGCCAATTGAATAAGCAGCAGCAGCAGCAGTGTGTGCCGATGTATGTGCGTGTCTGTGTGTCTATGTGTGTGTGCATGTGTGTACTTGGTGTGGCTCTGCTTTCAAGTGCCGCCACTCAACTAGCACTTATTGCATGCGACAAAGGACAAACGACAGCAGCAGGCAGCAGGAGGTAGGAGGCAGGAGGAGAAGCCAGGCCCAGAGACGGGGCCAACAGTCGCGGCCTGTTCCGGATGCGGTCGCAACTTTTTGTCGTTTTCAATTTTAATTTTCTCTTTTTTTTTTTTTTTTGGTTTATACACATTTTTTTTGCGCTGTATTACTGTCAAACCGGGCGGAGTCATAGCCACAGTCACACAGTCGGCAACTTGCGACACACTTAAAGCAGTTAGCTCGATGACCATCAGTGGCATACCATGTTGTGCTACACTGTGCGAAATTTTTCGTATAGATACACACAATTTAATGGAATTCTTAGGGAGTTTTAGATATCTTATTGAACTGAAGTTTGATGGATAAGAATATCATGTGCTATGCTATAAGAAGTTTTTGGTATAGGTACGCACAATTAAAAGTTATTTAGAAGTTTTAGGAACCATAGTCAACTAAAGTTGAATGCATTTATATTCATCCCTTTGAATTTGAACACGAGACAGTTCTAAAGCAAATTCACTTACACGAACGAGATACGAAAATGGCAAATGTGTGAGAAACGTTGAATGTCTAATCATTGACAATAGTAGTATTTTATTTTAGTCAATAAATAATTATTTCTTCTTTCTTTAGCAAATGTGGGCCCTATCATAAATTTGTTTTCAATTTAGCTATAAGATATTGTTCGTCTTAAGATATCAACTATTCAAGACGGCTGTACTGTATTTTGACCCAAAACCGTTTTGATATGGGGAAAATATAGGATTCATTTCGTACAATGTAGTTATAGTTGCAGGTTCAGCCATCATATTGGTCATTTGCTGCACATGCTGCGCGAATGTGAATTGCGGAATGCCAAGTGTGTACAGAAAGACAGAAAGAGAGCGCGTGTGAGAAAGAGATTGAGAGAAACAGAGAACTAGCTGCTGGGGAATGTCACGTAATTTTTAGAGCAAGTGGCACAGGCAGCAGCTCTGACAATTGAAATGGCGCACATTACGTATACGTAATGCGCGTTACGTATACGCAGCATATGCAGCTGCGGCTAAGGCCTAAGCGCCCCGAAGGCAAAAGATTACTGCAGCTGCGAACACGAATCCTGCAGTCTCACCTGGACTACAGTTATTATGGCCATAACCATAACAGTTATCTGATTTCTTTGGGTGCCTTTTTTGCTTGTGCTGGCTGCAGCTGCCGTTGACAGTGGGCCAACGAAAAAGGACAAAAAAAATAAATGCTCACCAGCCTGTGGGGACGTTTTTTTGTGCATTTCCATTTTGGTTTTTTTTGTTCATAATTTAATATTTACAAAGTAGAGCACACAGCGTCGAGTAGCGACACAGAAAACTGCAAAATAATAAAACGAAATTACCAGAGACAGGACACCAGAGAGCGCCAGAGAGCGGCGGCGGGAAGGCGGAGATGGAGAGGCCGCTCTCCGGCCGCTGTCCTGGCGAAAAATCTGTGCGCTGCGCTGCATTAAAAAACGCTTAGAGCAGCAACTTTTGTCGCCTGTCGCCTGCCTGGCGACTGCTGCTTCTGTCTGCAGACTGTGCTCTGTGCCGGCCAGTGTCCTGTTTGGCCGAGCTGCGCCATGTCCTGCCACGCCACCATGCCCTCCGCTGCCGCATTGTTCATTGACAGTTTTTATGCGCGGGGTGCGATCCTGTCGTGCATTTCTGAAATTTGTTTGTTTTTAATTAATTGCACGCGGCGACGCTGAAGTAAACCTACCTCACCAGCACCACCTGCCGCACCCTGCCGCCAACAGCAAACCTGGCAAGCCGCGGCCTTTTGCTGCTTTCACACATGTGCTCCTTCTGCTGCTGCTGTGGGCGTGGCTGCGTGTTGTGCTGTGATTAAGCCGCTGAATGGCTCGGCTGGTCACCGAGCTGTGGACTTGAATAGCGTGCCAGGATTTTAGATAAGCCTGCCCCCGGCCCCACAGACTGCATGTCGGCTGGGCGTGGCTTGTTAGCGCTGCGCCGCCACAAAGTATGTCATAAAAAATGTTCACAGCCTGTGAAGAAACTTTAATTTCGATTAATTTCTGTTGCACACACACGCACAGAGAAAGACAATTACCAACACCATTAAATGACAACAAAGTTGATGTTGAAATCGGACTGCGAATGTGTGTATGCGCGTGTGCGTGTGTGTGTGTGGCAATAACCATTTCCTGCACCATCACGAGAACCCTTTTGGGGTTGACAGCACAATTTGCATAAATTTTAAATTTCAATTTGCAAACCAAAAAACTGAAAAACTGAACTGAAATGGAATGAAAGAAAAATTATGCATGAAACGGAAAGGCAAAAGTTCGGCAAGTGAGCAAAAATAAGAAGAAGCACCAGCACAGAAAATACCAATAACAATGAGAAGAGAACAAAAAAATACCAAAATTAGCAGACAACAAAGCGAATGTAGAATCAGCTGAGGGGTAAAGTAGGTAATAGATGGGAGCGCAATCCAATGAAACCCCTATTCTTTTTTTTTGCTTGAACGAGAGAAAGAGAGAGAGGCAAACGCACATTTTGCCAACGACGAAGGACTCAGAGGGAGAGTGCGGGGGGACAGTGGAGGAAGCGAGGGGCAGGCTGGCAGGTCAGCCTGTAGTTGACTGCTGAGCTGCCTTTTGGCTTTTGCCAGCCTCGGAGCGGCAGCTCCCTGGTTCGTTTTGCAAAATTCTTACACATCCGTGGCATCATGTATGTGTGCGGTTGTGTGAGTGAGTGTGTGGGTGTGTGTGTGTGTGTGTAGCTGCTATAACGGAACAGGAAACAACTGGCATTGGCAGCCATACGACGTTAAGGATAATCGTGATGACAGCATATTTGGCTGCCCCCAAAAACCCAAACACAAAATCAAACGACAAGTTTTCCCAACTTTGTGTGTGTGTATGTGTATACGTGTGTGTGTGTGTGTGTCCAACTTGGGGGCGCATCCTTTTTGTGTCAGTTTGTTGTCTTTAAAACGACATTAAAAATGGTCAAATGAGCTTAGAACGCCTGCTTAAACAGCACTTTGATCCCTGCGCATTGCTTGAAGCCACTCAACTAGGCAAAAGGCCAAAGGAAATCCAAAGAAAAATCCACAATAAAAATGCGCTATTTCAGCTAAATCAGAACGCAAAATGCCGTCTAAAATGCTTCCTTTGAGAGACGTTCTGATAACGTTTCAGTTTTAGTTTTGTCTCTTACAAGTGGGCGTGCCCTTAAAACGGGGGCGTTTGGCTTGCTCTTCAACAATTTTGCACGCTTTTGTTTTTTTCCTTTTTTTCTTAAAGTTCTGACACGCATTTTGATAAATGTGATTCTTATGTTGATTTGAAGAAAACCAAACTGAACTTTGGCCGTAAAAGAGAGTGGGAGGGAGTTAGATATAGAGTTAAAGTTGTCCGCTGAGCCCATTACCAAACCAAATATTTAACATCATATTTCTTTGCTATTTCTTTTGCAGATCCTTTTTAGCTGACGACGCAGTTTGTCGCCGATATGCGAGTCCTTGTGAATGAGGTAAGTCTTTCTGTATATGCCATGAACATGTACATATATATCTAAAGGAAATATGTTGCCCATTTATACTCTGTAGGCAAAGGGCATTCCAAATTTTTTAAAAATACTACTACATTAATATAAATATATTAAATATATAAGAAAATAAGCTTGAATCTGACTGAATAATTTGGTTTCCACCAATTTTCAAATGCAGCCGAAGCAATATTCCACAATCTTGTCTTGGCTTTCACTTGCAATACAAACGTAAACAGTTCAGCCTCATCATCAATCAATCAATTGATCGATGTATCCCCTTTGTCTCTCGGAGACAGATTTTTGATCACAAAAACAATTCTCGTATAGAAACTAACATTACGTTCCTTACTAAGTATATATCATAGCTATATAATATGGGCTGAGCTTTCTACTTAACTAAGACATAAAAATTAAGCACGAGTAAGAGAAAGAGGTTCAGAGTAAGAGAGAGCGAGAGAGCGTCAAAGTTAGATTAATAGATTGAGAGGGCATCCCTTGGCGAATATTACTTTAACTTAATTTTTATTCATACTGAACACGCGTTAGGCTTTTTTCAGTTTATTGCTGATGTGGCTGCTTATGATAATATGGCCAACTCTAGTGCTTCCTCGGGCCCCCACCCCTATTACTTCTCCTACTCTTTCAGCTTTTCTTTCCGTGGAGCACGTTGCGTATACGCAACGTGGCTAAGGCACAAGGCAAAACTACAAGCCGTTTTCTTTGGCCACATTAATTGAACTCTGTTTATTTATGGCTGGTAATTTAAATGCGGCCAAGTGGTTTTCGCCCATACTCGCTTGTCTATGGACAAAGCCAAAATGGGGCGTGAGGCGTGGCTGTAGTTGGGGGCAGGAGTGCGCTATAAATTGTTAAGTTTTTCTGTTGTAGTTGTTGTTCGACTGGCTGTTGTTGTTTTTTATCAGCGCGGCCAACAACATGAATAATAATGCATGCACAATATTCCAGTGCTCATTTGCGTGTCCTATGGTAACACACACACACACACACACACACGCATACACATACACACTAGCAGGCAGTCGCACAATTGAGGCGGAAGTGCGCATTGTTTCCGCTTTTAATAAGGGCTGTTGTTCTGGGGCCGCTTGAGCCGATGCATTGCAAACGCATTATAAAGCCTGGCAACAGGCCATAAATTGCATTAAATTGCATTTAAATGTGTGTCGGACAGGTTAACAATACCGCTGCCACACCCACTCCCCCTCCACTCTGCCGCCCTCATAATTGATTGTAAACCAAAGTTGTTTGCCAGCTGCAAAAAGCCTTTAAGCCAAGTTAGTTTCGAGCCAACAACAAATTATTTGCCAAAGCAGCCCCCTGACATTTTCTCGCTCTGCTCCGCTTCAAGCTTTACTTTTGCGTGCAAATTCCGAAAATTCCAGAATTCTCAAAATTGCAAAGTTATGCTTATGAGCATGAAATGGCTTAGCCGTAAAAACTTTGCTCTTCTGTTTTATTTCCTTGTTGGTTTTATTTTATTTTATTTTTTTGTATACCCCGCAGCGACACGCGCTCGCGACAAAAACTTTAGCTTGAACTTGCAATTCGCTTAGCGGCCCAAACAGGAGACGTTTGCCCAGCGCCTTTTGGCCAAGTGCATGCAGCCAGAAAGTTTAATGTCTGCCAACTGCAGAGTGCAAAGACAAAACTAACTACCTATTGAATCGACTAGAAGATATCCTGTAGATTGTTGATAGTTTTTGTATAGAAGACGAGAAACTTCTAGTGTTAACTGTGTAAATAAATATATAGATAAAGTTTATTGCACACGAAGCACATATATAAATGTATGTATATATATAGGAACAGGGGCAGATGTGTCTTATTAATAGAGAGATGAAAGACTTTTAGGGTTTGCAGTAAATGTTTTATAGGTGACATGCTAAATATGAATCTAACAACACAGAAATTATTTAACTTTATGGTTTGCACGTTGACATATTCAAGAAAAATATGAAAATTATAGAAATTATGGAAAATTATAAAAAATGCATATGCATTAATTATAGTTAATATACATAATATTTTGTAAGGAGTATTTAAATATAGAAATTGTCATCCAGACTAGATTTACATATTGTTACTGAAGTGCTTTCGTGTAATAAAGAACACAAGAGCCCACATATCAAATTTGCTAATTCAACTTCGTATATTACGTAATTTGGGACTAAGGAGAAAGTTTGTCCGATAAGAGCCCTTGATGTCTGTCATACCCAACACACACAGAGGTCAATAACATTTCGCTGGGTACGGGGTATTAAAAACCAACAAGCCAAGTCATTTCAAGCATTCCAAGTGCAATGCAATTAACAAGCACTCTTTACCAGCAGCCCACTTCTCGCCCCACTCTGCCCAAAAGTTGAGGTTTACAGTGTTGTGAGTGTGTGGTATATAAGTTATGGCATGCGAGTCGTCAATTAAACAAATTCTGCATACATTAATTGTGCCAAAAGTTGTGGCATGCGTGCTGGTAAAAGCACCAGAAAATCAACCAGTGCTGCAAAATTTCTCATTTGTAATGGTCGCACGACAAGCAGCTGCCCTACGGCGTATACTTAATTTTTTGCGCTTTTGTATATATAAATGCCATTTTTTTCTTTAATTTTTTTTTTTTGGGCACAGTTGGACCTGACTATGATATATGACTGTTTGGCGACGCTGCGCAACGCCATGTGTGGCATGTGGCAACTGGCAACTGGCAACTGTGTGGCATGTGTAGCAGGCAGGGCCAAGGGAGCTGCTTCTTTAAGCTTTTGTTCATCCACTTAATTAGCATTTTGCTTGGATTGCTCGCTTTTGTTTCGTTCGCTGGTGTCGAGTGCACGCGCGTGTCTATTGATGCGTGCTAATTGCGCAGCTTCAGCAAACAGCACCGCCCACACCCACACACAGACACCCCCCCGGTTGCCAGCGCCCGCTTTAATTTCAATCCTTGACTGCATTAGGTGCTATCAAGTGCATGAATGAAACTTTTGCGTACAAGTTTATGCCCAAGAGTTAGCTCTCGCTCTCGCAGATTCCTACTCCCTCTCCGTAGCAAAGCATAGCCTCCTTAGGCCCCTCGCCTCTCGCTGCATAACAAGGAAATCCGTTTCGAGTGCAGTCTGCAAGCGTTGCCTAGCTCGCAAATCTTGTGGACGTCGAACAGGCACTCGTGCAGTTTACTTAAGTGCAGGCAGCCTTCCTCCACTTGGCCAGCAAGTCCGAGTGCAAGTAATACGCCGTATGTATTATTCCTCTATGTGTGTGTGTGCCTATTGGCTTCGAGTATGCGGCTCAAGTGGGAGGTGGGCTGAGACAATGTCTCAATTGTCGATTGCAGCTGCTCAGCTAAACGCTTATTAACCTATGGTAATGCGTTTCCTTTAATATGAACCATAGAAAAACAAGCTATCTTAATTAATATTGAGAATTTCTTGAAGTTTCTTTTTCTTTAACTTAACTTAAATTCAAAAAGTATTTTATAATTTTATACAGTTGAGTCACACATGACACACATTTGTTTTATACCACATTTCAATCATTTTCATGAGCTTCCATATATAAAAATAGAATCTAAAAGTATGAACATGTTGTATAAAAGTTCAGAAACTCATTCGTGAGAGAATTTTCATATCAGCTTCGAAGTTGTTGAGCCAAAATATAATCTGTTAGACAACACTTTGATTGAAATGAACCTTTTTATACCCTGAACCCATTAAAAATGGGTATATTATATTTGTGCGAAAGCCAAATATATGTAACAGGCAGAAGGAAGCAACTCCGACCCCATAAAGTATATATATTCTTGATCAGCATAAATAGCTGAGTCGATCTAGCCATGTCCGTCTGTTTGTCCGTCCGTCCGTCCGTCCGTATGTATGAACGTAAGGATCTCAGAACCCATAAGAGCTAGAGACTTGAAATTAGATGTAAATGCTCCTAGTTCCCGCGCAGATCGAGTTTGTTTCCGATAATCAATACCTTACTCCGTTTCCAAGCAATCGATAAAAATCGATATCGATATCCTGTTTTTTGGGCAGTTTTGGGAAATAATAAGAACTAGAGTCGCCAAACTTGACATGTAGCTTCTAAAATAGAATATATATATATGATATAGGATTTTTCTTCATGGTCCTCTAGATTAATGTGGTATTCAAATCTCGACACCGATTTTTTAGTCGAAATTCATGTCCAAATCTTTCCAAGATTCGTATATAGACATGGGTCAAAAATTACCACCCCCATATCTCGGCCAAATCTCATCCGATTTTCACGAAGTTTGGCTTTTTCTTCATGGTTTTCCCTCTAGATTAATCTGGCATTCAAATCTGAACACCGATTTTTTAGTCGAAATTCGTGTCCAAATCTTACCCCAAGATTCGTATGTAGATATGGGTCAAAATTTACCACCCCCATTTCTCGGCCAAATCTCATCCGATTTTCACGAAGTTTGGCTTTTTCTTCATGGTTTTCCCTCTAGATTAATCTGGCATTCAAATCTGAACACCGATTTTTTAGTCGAAATTCATGTCCAAATCTTACCCCAAGATTCGTATATAGACATGGGTCAAAAATGACCACCCCCATAACTCGGTCAAATCTCATGCGATTTCCACGAAGTTTGGCTTTTTCTTCATGGTTTTCCCTCTTGATTAATCTGGCATTCAAATCTGAACACCGAATTTTTAGTCGAAATTCATGTCCAAATCTTACCCTAAGATTCGTATATAGACATGAGTCAAAAATTACCACCCCCATAACTCGGTCAAATCTCTTCCGATTTCCACGAAGTTTGGCTTTTTCTTCATGGTTTTCCCCCTAGATTAATCTGGCATTCAAATTTTGACACCGATTTTTTAGTCGAAATTCATGTCCAAATCTTACCCCAACATTCGTATATAGACATGAGTCAAAAATTACCACCCCCATAACTCGGTCAAATCTCATCCGATTTCCACGAGGTTTGGCTTTTTCTTCAT